TTGGTTTGGGCAGGCAATGTAGGGATGAAGTTATCTCCCAAAGAAATAAATTAGGCACTCAATTAGGTCGTTCCACCTACTAACTACTAAGGATTAAATTACGTGACTAAAAGACACCAAAGATTACGATATTATTTAATGCTAACAATAATTCCAAGTGAAGAAAAAGTGCAGTATAGCGTGGTTATAGTGGAAATGGACTGGAATTAAAAAAAAAAGGAGGTTGTTTTATATTTTTTGAATGTAGAATTAATGAATATGTCATTTTTACAAGTGTATTCTCACAAATTAAATCCTTAAAATTGTAAAAGTTATTTGACTCTTAAACTGAAACAGATTCGATTATAAGAATCACACTTTGAAAGTAAAATGAATTGAATTGAACTTGCAGCAAATGATTAGGAATACACGTCATTATTTCTATTTTTATGTGCATTATGTACTGCTTTTGCAGGACCATGGAGCAAAGGAGAACTCTTATTTTTGTAGTTGTTGAGAAAAAAAACCAAATGGATTCCAAGCAGATTTCATTCACAACCAACTCCTCCATATGGGATGGGTATATTATCCTTGGCAGAAGCTACAAAGGGACCCACTTTAACTAACTTTTATGACAAGCCTATATAGATGTGGACGAATAATTCCTCAACAACAATCATTTGCAAACATTAAGATTAATATTACAATTAACAATTCGTTTGTCATAACATATTCGATTGAATATGGAAGCATGACAGCTTGTATGAGCAAAGCTTCCTCCTTACAAAAGCTAGAGTGCGAAATAATCAGACAGTGAAGTCAATTGGAAAACAACTCATGCAATCATTAACCAAAACAAAGAAAGTTGCAAAATAAGAATGCACAAACTAATTACAAAAGAACCTAAAAGAAAATAAGAAAGTTTTACAAGATAAATAGAATATCAGCCAAATCAAATATCAATTTGGCATAATTTGAGAAGATGAAATTGTTAAGGGAAGGATGGTAACATGCACATCAATTCAATGACACTTAAAATTGGAGAAATTTAGATAGTCAAGCTTGAACAGTTAGCTTGTGAACCACTAATCTAACCTTATCTTTTTGTTGGGACAATTAGTCAGCAGTCCCATTCCCATACCAACTAAGTCGGGACATATTACAACATTAATTACGTTAAAGTTTATTATAATTAAATGTCTTAAAAGATGTACAATAGCTTGAACATATTGTTAAGAGTATGATTCGATTCTTTTTTATGAAAAAGTGAGGTCATCATTATTTAGTAATGAACTATAATTATCCGATCACGGGCGAAAACTGATACCTATAGTTTATCGGATTTTTTGGGGTACCACTAGAGAGCTGGAGAATTTTTTCTGGATTTAAGCAGATAACATAAGCAACTCAAATTTTTGTGTATGTGTGGGTCTTGACACTGCGAAATTTGAAAACCCGCTTTATCTTGGCAATTAATCCGAGCTTAAGAACATTCAGGCTATAGAGAATTTTATTAATTTGGTTTCATTTGATTCCTTTAAATAAAGAATTATAATTGTCTATCCAAAAATTAAGGATGTGAATCTTGATAATTTCATAATTTATTATATGTTTAACCATAATTTTAATTGTTAATTTTTCTCATTACGGATCATAACTATTTACTTCTTCCTTTAAATCAAATCTCTATCTTTAAAAGTTTCAAATTTCAATTCTTTTTATACCTTTTTCGTTGTCTTTAATGTTTGTTTGAATGACAGAAAAATGAAAATGTGATAAAGTAAGAGGAATAATAACTGGCAATATGAACTTTAAAAAAAAAAAAAAAAAAGTTAGAGTAAAAGATTACTCTCAACTCAATTTCATGATAAAGGAGCAAAAATGTTTGAAATGAAGTGTTAATAAGTCGCGTTTCCCTTTTTAACCTTCTTATAAAAAAATCTGAAGTGATATATTATAGATTTTTCGCTTTTTCCACTTTTTAATGCACTCAAATAACCACAATTTATTTATGTTAATTAGAGGTCTTGAAGTCTTCAGAATGTAAACATTATAATGTTGGGAGACTCACCCCCAATATGGGTATATTAGTGCTTGAATCGGATTAAACCGGATATAACAGGCAACTATAGCATGCAATTATGCAAGAGTGTGAAACTCAAGTTATAATGAATAATAACCAAGTTTTATGAAAATTAATCACAATTCTTCCCAACTTAATGATCGCATATTATAACGGACTTATCTGTTCATCTTTCATACTATAACACCACCCACTAACATTTTCAACATTGTTCTGGTCTCGAAATCCTAAACCTATTTTTTTCTAGTTATCTCTCGCTTCATTTGTTGTTTTATCCTAGAAAAAGAATCCCATATGTCCCCTTTTACTGCGTCTATATGTATATAGCAAAATTGAAAGAAGGACAAATGCCTAAGGAATTTCAAAATACGAATAAGTCAGCATCCAATTATGTACAAACTCCTATTGAAATAAAACTTCAATTGGTCTCTTTTTTTACCTATTTATAAGCAAAGGAATCGGACCACGCATGCAGGGACATGTTATGTCCAAAGTAACAAGGAAAGGTTGGATAGTATTTCTCACATACCCCTCATCAACAACACCAATGTTGTTGCGGATGAAGAGAAGAAAAAATGGATGGTGATGATGAGGGGGTGTTTGAGAAACGTGAAAAATGAAATGTGTGTGTAACATTTCCTAAATATGCATATCAACAGCCAAAACCACATACCCTGATGACACGGAATAATTATAAAATTGGTCCTCAAAGTTCAAAGGTAGCCTAGCAATACAGATGACGAGGTATTGCTCTTTCAAAGATCTTTTAAACTTAAGCTACCATCCTATGAAAAACTTGCTTTCAATCCAATACTACTGTGTTTCAGTGCACTCCACTCCTAATCTGCAAACACTGTTCTAAACGTTGTATATGAGCTTACAATTGAAGAACCAATTGTGAATATTACCGCAAATCTAACATAATAATAGGCTTTTATGTACTAAAAAAAGAAAATAATAGGCTTTTTGGCTTACTGGACCTGAGTTTCGAAATTTAAGGCAACAAGCAATTGCGGTAAAAATCAGTAATCTGCAAGCAAATGATCAACATTTTACAGAGACGCATGATAAAACACAACCAATTTATTCAAGAAACATGACAAGTCAGTCGGTTTGTATGGACTCCTTGGGTGACAAAATTTACATTGCTGTACATAGAATTCCAATCGTACTTATTTGCTACCAGTTTGTTATCCTTGACCATAAACACGTAATAGAATACAGTGAATTGCAAAATTACTTTTCAGACTTACAGTACACATTCGCAATAGCTCCAGATGAAACATTAATCATAAATACGGTTGAGAGAGTAAAAGCTACAGTACTCATTATCAGAGTATGCAGAAACATATTACTACAAAAAAAAAAGTATGCAGAAACAACAATTTTTTTTTAAGAACTGTTGTGTTGACTTTGAGAACCCAGAAGATACAATACAAAGATTAAACAACACTTCCTTTTGGGCAAACAAGTGGAAGCTATAACCGTTGAACTAGATTTTGTAATACCAAATTTACAAGTACGAATTTGTAGCTACCCCAGGCATGTAACACCTCTAAGTAAATAGGTAATATACGTAGGTAATGAAGGTAATGTCTATAATTTGATTGCGTGTGAAAACCAAATACAGCAATCATGTGTAAACTGTAAAAAGTGATCCAGGAACAGAGATTTCGATGCACACAAGCAATCATCTTGTGAAGAGATGTTCTTAGATACCTTAAGTAATGTCTGGTAAGTCATAATTCAATTTAACAAAATCAAGAGAATGGCAGTTCAAGTAGATCAGACTCAGGTTTTAGTACCTCAAAGTGGAAAAAGATATTAACTGAAATAAATTATACATACAACGGCCACTGCAAACTTCAGCCATTAGGTATGAACAAAGAACTAGATTTTTGCAATTAACAAAACTGTAAAATGGTATATAGAAATACATCATTTTAAGCTAGTCTAACTCAACTGTAACTAAATGCTTCCAATCCAAAAACAGGTCATATATCAAATAGGATCTTTCAGCTAAGCCTTCTTTTATTTTTCAAGCTAATCAATTGGATCAAGTCTAGCCACAACTGCAGGAATTGACACAAATACATTATATATAGCACCAAGGATGTATAGAGTTGAACAGAGAAAGTGTTCTAGAGAAATTGTGTTTGATTACACCCATGCTGGAAGTAGCAGCAATATCAACTGGTAAATTTAACTAGCATTAAGCATTCTTTCCTCTAAGTCAGGGAGCTAAAAGATGACAGGAGTAAATCAAGAAAACCAGTTGTGTCTTGAAGAAGAAACAGAATATAAAATCAACATGAATAGGTCGATCATGGACCCTTATGCGTATTTTCTTAAGCATTTCAAAAAGCTCACTCAACCATGATTTGAATAAATTTTAATGTGATCAAGTTTCTAAAATATAATTAAGTTTCACATGCTCCCATCACCTTTTAAAAGTTTTAGGCATCTCACTGATGATAAATAGAGACAAAAAAGAGAGTTTAGATTAATTACAAAAGAGCAAATCTCATAAAGAAAGTTAATGAACCATAAAAAACTGCTTTTACACTGTAAGTCAACAAGTTAAAGCAATGACTAAATTTCCACTTATATATTTGATTGATCTGTTGACAATAAGTTTGATTATAGAACAGAACATTGTAGGAAAGCAGTTCACAGAATCCGATTCTGTTTTTAGTGAACATGTTCTTTGAAGTGAACTAAAATCTGAATAGTCTGCCGTATTGTCCTCACAGAGGACTTCCATGACAGGTACTAATATGTTCATACTTTTTATCACTGTCACCCAATCAGTGGAGACTGAATAAAGCAATAGCATGGCTTCACCATAACAACTGTTACTAGATTATAGAGTTATACAAATAGATAAATATGCACAGTTAATCAAGCAGAATATAATAATTCATGTACATCTCCTTAATCTCCATATTTAACAAAGTCAAGCTATACAAATCAGTTTGATTTCTAAGATCATTTTTTCTGTTGGACAAAAGTTTCCTATGATCATTAATTTAACCCATCCAAAAGTAAGTATATATGAAGGAACTGAAGTATGATCAAAAATCAAGTTCCAAATAGTCTTTAAAAATTCAGAGTCTCATCATCAAAAAGGTTTCCTAACCTCAGTTATCTATGCCACCAATTGTGAGTAAATCTGAAGGAAGTGAAGCAGGATCAAGTTCCCAACAGTCTTTTAACGGTTCAGGAGTCTCATTACAAGAAAACTTCCGTGCAGGAATCTGATGAGAAACTAACCAGATGTCGTCCTTTCCAAGAAATCTAATAGCATGACTTCCCATCTCTTGTCTCTTAAATACTGTCTTGTAACCATCAACCTTCTCAAGATATGCCATGCTCAGACCATTCATCTCACTGTAACTTGTCAAAAATACAACAATGTCATAATATCTCTTGCCCTCAACTGCAACTTTTCTTCCATCTGCATCAAGAGTTGCCTCACCATAAAGTGCCCATACTGAGCCTTTCTTGGGATAAATTTTGTAAACTTCACTTGCTGCCCGGTCACAATCTACAACATGAGAAAAGATATTTACTGAATTTATGGAAGCCTTCCTGGCAACTTTAAATCTCCCACAAGGTATGTGAAACCCCATTTGCTCCCTACTAATTATCTTTTCATCCCCATTGTTCTGTAGATCTAACCAACTTATTCTCACTTCAAAAGGATTTGCTGAAATGGCTTCATCAATCAAGGCATAGTGCCTAGGCATTCCATCATCATCATCATACACAGCCCACACTTGGCCTTTCTTAAAGCTTCTCTCAGTTCTATCTTTGTCAAAATCATAAAAATCCGAATCCACAACTGCCATAATATCCAATTCCCCTCCACTAGAATCCCTATGCTTCTCAAGACTCAATCCCTTTCTTTTCACAGAAGCCTCATGCTTTTCCTTGATTGCTAGCTTCACACTCTTCTTCAAGATCCTCACTTTCCCAACCTCTAAACCCTTATTATTTTTCAATCCCCGGAGTCTCTCTCCTTGCCTGCTCCTCTTCTCTGTTCTGTCCTCTTCCTTTTCCTTCATCTTAACATTCTTTTGCTGAGCCTTTCTCTTCACTTCAGATTGAAATTCAGCTAATGTCATCATTTCCTCCCCGGTTTTAATCCCCTTGGGTTTTGACCTCTCCAACACTTCACCAACCGTACGCATTCTCTTCCTCAATCTTCCACCATCTCCTTCCTTCTCCAAACCCCCTTTTCCCACTTCATTGCTCCTCCTTGTAAAGTTCCCACCTTTTTCACCACCCACTTTCCCTTTCACGCCACTCGATTTCTCAACCCCACCCATTTTCTTCCTCAACACAAAGCTCCCCAACGTCTCACTCCCATTCCCTTCCACACCCACACACACCTTCTCTTTCAATTCCAACCTCTCACTCCTTCCCCTAACCCTCTTTTCCTCTTTCTGCGACCCATCATTCTGAACCGCTTCTACAGCCTTAAAACTCTTATTGCAACTAGGACAAACCAGTTTATGACCCAGGTACTTCCTCTCGAACTGGTGCAAGAGCCTGCAAGTTGAGCACGCCGTCCAGAAAGTGTTCCTCTCCTCCGAGACGCCGTCGAGGTCACGTTCAATGCGCTTTGCTCGCTTCGCGTATTTCAGAACTGGTTTCTCATTCTTGGAGCTTTGGAACTTCGCCTCTGCCAAACCCTCGAGGCGCAGAGATTCTCCTTTTTCTCCTTCTCGTTCTCCCTCTGTTGTTGCCATTGGAAGATGACAATGAGTTGCAGAGAGGTGGGTTTTTGGATTCGGGGAAAAATGGATATCCAGCGTTCTGGGCCAGACCCATAACTAAATGGTCCAATGGGCCGAATTAAAAAATTGAAAATTCTTTTATTGAATTCGGGTTATTATTCATTTATAAATGTGTTTGTGACCTGACCCTATGTTATTATTGGACCTAATCCGTTTTTGTTTTGACCTGTATATTCAGTATTCTACTTGAACGAGTGAGTTGAAGATAATAATGAAGTAAGCTCCGATGATTGTACGATCGAAAGATTGGAGTTAGTAAAAAATTTCCAATAGAACAATTGATGACCGCGAGATATTAAGATTTAAGATGATGTTTTTTGACTGATCATTTAAATTCTTATCAAGGAATTATAAGTCATTGGCCGCAATAGGGATTAAATTGGATGACGATATACGATATTGTGGTTGCATAGTCTTTTTTGCTGTTCTTAAATCCGACTTAGGCATCGATTCGATTGGGGTATTGAATCATTAAGTTATTGGTCGGATAGGTAAGTCATTGGTTGGACTAGTTGATCCGGATATATAAATATATAAAATATATATATGAATATGAATATATAAATTTTATTATATTCTCCATATCTAAAATGAGTTAAACAATATTCATTAATTAAGTTCAAAAATTATCCAATCACACTTTTACAAGTTCATGAAACATAAATAAATTAAAATGTAGGCTATTACTATGTCAATTTAAATTGCATCTCATAATCCCCATAAGCACACTTCTCAGTGACATTGAATTCATATTTTTTAAATTCATTTACATTAAAATGACATATGTCACGTTCTCTTGATTTATTGTTTCGCAAATTGCTTCGATATTGGAAGCTGAAATTTGAGGTCATTGTAGAAGAGTATACTAGCAAATAAAATTACAAAAAAAAAAATTAAAATGAGTTCTACATTTTTTCTAACAAGATGAAATAATTTTGGTTTTTGTATAAAAATGTATAACCTAATTGAGTCACCAGGTTTGAGCGGATCCGATACATAATTAGTTCAATGTTTGACCTGAATCGATACGATAATTGATTCACCGAATTTCAAGTCGATCCGGCCGAGCCGAATAAAAGTTTACAACAATGTTTTTTCTAGCTCGGGAGAGATGTTTCAGATGTCTTTGTCTAATTTAGTCCTTGTGGTAATAGTATCATGGATGCGGCCTAGAGTAAATATTTTGAATAAAGAAACGAGAAGAGAGAGTTACGGATCATTGCCACACTTTAATGCATTGGTTATGGAAAAAGAGAAACAAGTCCACTCTTTTGAGAAAACAAAGTATTTTGATTTAGTGTATTATGTTTAGGGTTTTATTTCTCTTATATAATATGAAATAATTTTTCTCTTTTACTTTCATTTTGATTTTCGTGTTCTGTTTTTTTTTTTTTTAAATAAAGTGAGTCCCATCATTTATTCTATATGTAAAAAATAAAAATTCTCTTATGGAACATAAAAGAAATAAAACCCTTATATTTATGGTCCTTGTAAACCCATAACTTCCATATATAAAGAATATATCGAGTTGTGGATTTATATTTTCAAATCTAAAGACACTTGTTAGGTATTTTTAAGCAATCTCACACTTAAATGTGATAAAATAAGTTGGACTATGTAAGGTGTAAATGGGACAGACAATCCAACAAAACCTACAGTCCAACTTATATAAAGTCAGACTCGGCCTATTACATATTATCAAATAGAAAAGACTCATGCTTTTAAAATAACTTATTTAGAAAACAAGTTATAGAGGCTCTGTTTGATTTCTGTTTTGCAAAACAGGTTTTTAGTTTTCAGAACAAAAAACTAAAAAACTCGTTTGGTAAGACCTGTTTTGTAAAAAATGTTTTGAAAACTATAACTGTTTTTTTGTTTTTAAAATCAAATTTAGAGAACATGTATGAGTTGTTTTGTTTTCTGTTTTGATTTTTAATTTTCAAAAAAAAAAAATATATAGAAAACAATTGTTTCCATAACTATTTTACATAACAGCTTTAAGAACAAAAAAACCAAAACACAATCAAACAGACCCAGACTTTCTTTTACGTGTCGGATATATAAGTCTACAAATCGACTTATATTATATTATTTATTTTAAATAAAATAATTATTTTAATGATTTTGAATAATAAAGTAATATTATTTTAACTATTGAATGCCTAATAAGTTTAAACAGGCTAACAGGTCTAAGTCAATTTTTTTTTTTTAAATATAAGTCAAACTGCACTTATAATCTGAGCCAACACAAGTTTAACAGACCAAGTAAGACCTAACATATTTTACATAAATATGATATATTTAAATCAAATCCCAACCTATTTACACATCTACTCATGATCAACCTATTTCACTTGAGAGTTAGTTAAAATGAATTGGGTACAAATTGAGCCCGATTGAGTTAAAATTGAACCTTTTTATGAATATTATAAACATGGTATGAATTTTTCATGGACTATAATCCGTAACTTTTTTTTTAATATATATTAGGGGTTTTCCATGTTATAATTATTTATAGTTGTGTCCATTGATTTTACAATTTTTAACAAGTATATTATTTTTCTTAATTGATTTAATAAAAATTTAGAGAGAATCCAATTTATTCCACTATGTTATTTCGCTAATCATAAATTTCTAAACACAAACTGAATTTTGTTTTACAAATAAAGCTATACAAGAAGGCAACTAAAGAAAAAAAGTTTATGCATAGTATTGACTTAATTATCTGATTACCTGCATAGAGATTTATATTTATTTAATAAGTAATAAAGGCATAAGAAAAAGATAAATGTATACTTATGCTCAGTGTTGAACAAACCAAACCGGTCTGGTCAGGTGGACCAAACAATCGATAAAGTAGTCACACGATGAGTCCGATTTTCATCTTGGATCGGTCAAATAATAGGCACGGTGAGACTCGACTAGTTTTTGAGAAAATTGATGACCAAATCGGTTCAATTAGTAACCCCACCTAGTTCACAAAAAAAAAATCCAAAAAATATATATAAAAGATATCATTTTTTAAAATTTACAAATGATTTGTTTTTTTTGAATTATTTGAGTGATTTGTTATTTATTGACTTAAATAGGTTAAGTATCTAAAACATTAATATTATTTTGGTTATGCACTATGTAACAAATTTCAATTTAACTTATAGCTAGAGATGTCATATACAAAGCACCAGTATCTCAAGCATTATATGTTTGTTTGAGCTTTTGTTACATAGTTATTAAAACCGGACCGACCCGGGAACCGGTAAACCGGTCATATAACCGGACCAGTTGAAGCAACGGATCGGCCATGCATCAGACCCGGTCCGACCCGGCTAATTTTCATAAAAACCGGTGACATGGTCGGTTAACCGGTAACCCAGCTCGGTCCCAAAAAAAAAATTTCAAATTTGTTTTTTTTAAAAAAAATTCATAATAGTCATATTTGAATATTTTTTTGCTTATTGACTTACGTAAGTTATGTACCTACAACACTAATATTATCTCAATTATGTACTATGCATAAAATTTTGAATTAATTTATAATTAGAGATGTCGTTTTATGAACCTAAATCCCCGTATCACGATCGTTATATTTTTGTTTGATTTTTTATTTGATAATAATATGTGATTTATTATTTTTTGTATTAAAATATTTGAAATTTTTATCATTTTTTAGATATTTGAGTATGTTTATAATTTTTTAAAATAAATTATAAAATTGCATATAATTACCGGGTCATGCGGTTGAACCAGTGACCCACTGGTTGAACCAGTGACCCGGTAGCTCGACCGGGTCAATGACCGGGCCGGTTTTAATAACATTACTTTGTTAAATAATAATATGTAATTTATTATTTTTCATATTAAAATATTTGAAATTAATATTATTTTTTATAAATATTTGAATATATTTATAATTTTTTAATATAAATTATAGATTTACATATACTTATCAAATCATACAATTGAATATGTGATTTACTGATTGAACTAATAATCCAATAATCCAATATCTCAATTGCATTAATGATCGGGTAATTACTTATGCTACAAGGATGAATTAATTCAGAGGCGATGGATACATAATTTTTTTATTTTTGGGACCGAATATGGCAATTGCCAATAATGAATTAAAAGACGAAAAATATGATGCAAAATAATTTAAAAAAGGAAATAAAAAAACTGTGGGCAGAGGGGGTAAATGGGGGATTTCACTGACTGTGCCAAATGGGCACGAAAATCTCACTGGACAGCGACAGTATACGACGACCCATGGGTTCCTCTCCGTGAACACCCAAAGCCAAACAAAACATTAACCTTAACCAAACAAGCCCTAATTTTGTATCTGTCCCCAATTCCTTGTTCCCTTCTCATCCAATCCTAAATAAAATCAACATCAAATTTTTGCTATATTTTCCCAAATAAATTCCCCGAGCAGCAGGAATTCCATTCTTCTTGCCATTTTCTCCCCAAGAATTTAGTTGTTGCGCCTTTTGTTTGTTTTCGTCATCGTCCGCAGATCAGGTTTTGATTTTGCTTCTGCTCCAGCTGTGGAGGATCCCCAGTCTCTCTCTGAGCGGTAATTTGAAAATTCTCAGCTTTATTTGCCATTAATCAAATTGAATTATTCATATTGCTAGCTTGTTGAGATGTACGAATTTCAATTTGTTTTCCTTGGTTTCATCTTTGTTTTCTGAGCTCTGTTATTTTTGCTTTGTCAATTTTGGTAGAGATTAATGTAGGAAGAGTTATTATAGGGGTGAACAGGACTTATAGGTGCCATGTTGGGTTTGGAGATAACATAGGGCAACATCAAAAATTGGATTTTTGGATGATTTTGCATTGATTGGGAGGGGAAAAGGACTAATATTGGCTCATTCCTGTTGGTACAACCCATACATGCCATATAAAGATTGTAACTTTGTAGAGTAATTCAACATAGAAGCATCTGCTTGAAGCGTTTTGTCTGACATGCTTAACTTTACAGTGGTGGAATTTGGTTGTGAGCTTTGAAGGAGAATGGTGTCTCTTAAGCTGTCTTGTAACGTAAGTTATGTTTATGGTGCAGAATGGTTTAGTGTATATTTCTGTAAGATACGGTTATAAAAGTATGGGCAGCAGTGAAATGGACAAAGCCCCAAAAGAGAAGGAGTCAAAGACGCCGCCACCTACATCACAGGTCTAACTAGGTTTCTTTTGTTTTATCTATGTTGACAGTTAGTGTTACTTTTTGTGTAATGCCAGCAACATTTGTTGTTTTTCCAGGAACAGTCTTCAACCACCAACACTGGAACAATTAATCCTGATTGGTCCAGCTTTCAGGTTTTCAATGAAAAAGTCTTTATTGGCATTGGCATATCATTTTATTTTACTGTCAAGATTAGATTTTGATTCACCCAGCTCCCTCATTTTATAGGCATACTCTCCTATGCCTCCACATGGGTTCTTGGCATCAAGTCCCCAAGCTCACCCTTATATGTGGGGTGTCCAGGTAGTTGTCACTTACATTATGAATGCCCAATCTTATGCGCATGATAGTGTAGAATATTATAAATTAACCTTGTATTATTGCTTATTAATGTTGATAATTAATATTAGTTTTCGGATCCTAATTAAATAAGGAAACAAATCATGCAATATAATGAAATATGGAAACCACTCTTAAGATATCATCTAACATAATATAAAATATTCTACATACAATAGTGATATTATGAGATATTTTGTGGATATTTAAACTGTTATCAGTAAATAAAATTGGAAAGTACACCAATAAAAAGAAATTTTCCTTGATTTGATTGCAGCTAGCAAGTGTATTTTGTATTTGAGCCTGATTATATTCATGGGTGAGGATTTTTATTACTATTTGTTTGCCTGCTCAGCCAGATCCCCAGTTTACCATTCTTTGTATTATATTCAAACAAGCATTAGTATAACCCCTATATTACTATGTTAATTGCTAGGAATTAGGGGTTGTGAATAATCTTTTTCACAAATTGACTATATGTGTGTCATGCAGACTGTTTCAGGATTGTATGGAATGAGTGTGCAGAGTGAAAGTGATTATGAAACTGTTTCAACTTTAGTAAATTCACTATCTCTTTAGTGGTGGCATGTGTTTGGGTTGGGCATCAATGGCAACTTAAGTAGTTAAGCTTTGACGATGGTGGTGATGGGGGTCAGCATGATGGTTGCGGGATATCAACTAAGATTTGGCAGTGGCACTGGTGATGGTGGGCTGGTTAGTGGATGATGATGATGATGATTGTATTTGTAGTCTCGATTGATGGTGATAGTCATAAAGATGGAATCAAAGCAATGGGGGTTTATAGCATGAAAAGTTACTGTTTGGTTAATATATAGTAATTTGACACTTTGTTATCTAATCGTTAGGGGTAGTATCTCTTTAGAAATAATGCTTCACCAATATGTGTATGTTATGATTAGTAATGACCCTAATTTGTTACATGTCTTAAGCAAGGGTAGGCTTGAACTTCCTAGTTAGGGGCATTAAAGAACTATTCTTACCTCTGCAACATGAATTTTCAAGATTTTGGTCATGGTTAACGAATTTTTTTCTTTGGTTATCATTTGTTGTTCTTTCTATAGTGCTCTACTGTTACTGCAACTACTCTATGCGTAACTCCACTAACCCTAGGAAATGTCTGGTTTGAATTCTACCTCATGTTTCCTCTGGTTCATTGATTAAGTTTCTATTTACAGCATATTATTCCTCCCTATGGTACTCCACCACATCCCTATGTTGCAATGTATCCCCATGGTGGCATATATGCTCATCCATCAATGCCTCCGGTATTCTTTGTAAACTATGCTTTCTTGAAGTTATCATATTGTTATTGAATCACTATTTCACAAGCGACTGTTTGCCAATTATCTCAAACTTATACAGGGATCTTATCCTTTTAGTCCTTTTGCCATGCCTTCTCCAAACGGGATTGCTGAGGCTTCAGTGAGTTTTTCCCTTTCTGCATTTTTGTGCTCATTCTCTTTCTTTCTTTGTTGCTGTCTTTTCCCTCTTCTGTGCAGGACTTTTACTTATCCAAGTAATGAAAAAGTAACCTATGAGTTTACATGCAGGGAAATACTCCTGGCAGCATGGAAGCTGATGGTAAGCCTCCTGAGGTGAAGGAAAAATTGCCAATCAAACGATCAAAAGGAAGTTTGGGTAGTTTGAATATGATTACAGGGAAAAATAATGAACATGGTAAAACACAAGGGACATCTGCTAATGGAATTCATTCAAAGAGGTAATATCTGGAGTGTTGATCAATCTCCTTATTGAATTATTTCTCCTCTTATTTGAATCAAAGCAAGGTTCTCAAGATCGAGACCTTACCTTAGATCGGAAGGGGGTAGCAAGATCATAAATTGTGAGATTGACACGAATCGTAAGATCTTACTGTTTTAGTTTTAATTATAAAAAAAATAATATTTATACATATTTAATAATATTTATACATATAAAATAATATTTACATTACCTTTAAAAGTAATATTTATGCATATAAAAACTCTAAATGTATCCAAGAATACAAATTGCATATTTACATTGATACATAAACAAATATTAAATTTGAATTTTTTTCCATTTAAAATTGGCTTGTTGTTATACTTGAAAATTCAAAATATTAATTGGGGCTTGTTTAGCAAGTAGATCTTTTAGTTATGGGCATTTTAAAATGTAATAGCATATGGCAAACAATTCCTTACACTAACAAGGGAGTTTTCACACTTTTAGGGGCAATTTTAGTCAAAATATTATAGGGACATTTTTAGTCAAAATATTATAGGGACATTTTTAGTCATAGGCATTGGGCATTTTTGACACCACGTGGCTGACTATGAAAAAAATAAAAAAATAATAGGGTGAACCAAGTACACGGATACCAAACGGTGGAAGAAAGAAAAATAAAATAAAAGGAGAAAACCTACTTTATCCTTCAAATAAAAATCTAATATGGAAAAAAACACTACCAGTAGATTGAAGCCAAACGCTAGAACTGTAGAAGAACCCAATTGAAGGTCGTAGAAGATGCAAAACCAGGCACAGAATCAGCGGTCACAGAATGTAGGAGAAGGTCACGTTGCAGACAACGGTCGAAGGTCGCAGAAGAAAGGAAAATCACAGAAGGTCATCATAGACGAAAGGGAAATCGCCGAAATAGGGTTTCTACTCTAACGAAATTAGTTTTTTAACCTTTTAATTTATTCTGGATCACGGGTTTGGTAACTGGAATTTTTTTTTTTTTATCGCATACGTGCCCACCGATTTTATGATTTTCCCCTTTGATCCCACTTCATATTGATCCTATTCCGAATTGAATCGTTTTTGGGGTAAAAAATCACAGGATCGAACGATCCTATGATATAAAACGCAATTTTGATAACAATGAATCAAAGTATTCAGCATGGCCAAAGAGAGGCACACTTCGCTCCCAAATGTCCTGCTAATTGCCAACTTGTTGACATGGAATAGCATTTTGCCATGATATGTCACCATCATAGTTATTGTTTCTCTACATGTGGAATGATCTAATACTTATTTGAAGGTCTAAGTTATATGTACCAAATAGAGCTCATCATAGTGTGACATGTACAAGAGCAAATTCTTGGCCTTAGAACTGGAGGAGTGAATGTGAACTTCTATCCTTTTTGCTGTCTTAGTATTATTGGTAACATTAACATCCATATCCCTATTGTGTGATAAAGACTGAACTTTTAAATTGATCAACTCTGTAGTCTTGCTTTTCTGTTATTCCAGATCATGGAAATAAAGCTAGAAAATTGTATGGTTTTGTTTGAACGAAGCAACCCCTTTAGGCTTAGCATGATGTGTGATGTAGTTGCAGCCTTTCAGAGCCTAGTATTATCTGAACTGCTATAGTAAATGACCTAGGGATTCCAAAATATGATGTACTGTCTAGTTGGGATTAAAGAAACTAGAACTCCGTGAAGTTGGTGTTTCCTTCATTGGCGTCCTGCTTTTAAATTTTTTATTTGATTTATTGCAGTTTTAAGTTTGAAAGCTTTATTTTAGAATTTCGTTGGACCATTTTTTTGTATATTTTAACTTCTAGAATACAAAAGTTGCATTTAATATTTATCTTCTAATGCCTATGGACCCACAGAGTTACTCGATTTGGTGTTTTTTGACCAATCTTGTGGCTGCATTGTCCTGTCAACAACAGAAAATATAATATTATGTTTGTCAATGGTTTATTTTTCTGAGCCTGTTGATTATGTTAGCTTACCATTTGTGATTGCATAGTGCTGATGGGAAATCTTGGATTTGCAGTGGTGAGAGTGCAAGTGAAGGTACTAGTGAAGGAAGTGATGCAAATTCTCAGAATGTAAGTTCAGTGACAGTTGTCAATTTGCTACTATATTGTCCATATTTGTCCATGAACACTTATCTTTGCAGTATTTATAAATTTTAAGGAGTATAAGATATGTAAAAAGAGGTGAAAAGAATATGTTTATTTAGCAAAGTTTGGAGTAATGTAAGGGCTAAAACTGGAGACACTGGAGTTACTCTTTCTATACTGCCGAAATATAATTCCTGTAGGATTACTATCCTGACAGCAGCATTTAATTATCACATTCTTCAGAATAAGAACTGTTATTTACCTAGTATGGATAATGTTATGGTGGCATAAGCATTCAATGACTTCTGAAATTTTTTGTTTGCGTCTTTAAAAACAAGGAAATCAAAAAGCATTGTATTGAAAGTCTGAGAAAATGAGGAGAGTTTGTGTAGCTTATTAAAAGTTTGTTATAAAACAGCATAAAGTATTATGAGGCTTTGTAAATTTTTTTGTCACAAAACAGCATAAAGCACTAATGGATGTTCAATGTTGTTATTTCCTAAATGTGTTTAAGCACCAGAAGTTGGGTGCAGTAAATGACTTGCATAGCTCATGCTGCTCATGTTTTTTGGATGCTCAATTGACTAAATTTTCTGGATGATGCCCTAAATAAATTATTTTTGTTTTGTGCTCTTCAATGGCTAGGCAATTATCATAGGTATTTATTTCTCTGTATTTTATAGGACTCTCAATTGAAATCAGGGGGCAGGCAGGATTCTTTTGAAGGTTTGACATGGTTACCTTCTGCTGTTTAAATTTAATTTCTAACTTTCTATTATTTAGTGCTATATGTAAACCCATAATGTATGTGTGGGTACAGCTGAAATGTACCTTTTTTCTATTGAATAACAGATGAACCATCTCAGAATGGCAGTTCGGTGCATACTCAAAATGGGGGACTTAATACACCTCATACTGTGGTTAATCAAACTATGTCTGTCATACCTATGTCTGCCAGTGGTGCTCCTGGAGCTGTTCCTGGTCCCACAACAAACTTAAATATAGGAATGGATTATTGGGGCACACCAACTTCATCCAACATCCCTGCACTGCGTGGAAAGGTTCCATCTACTGCAGTTGCTGGAGGGATGGTTACTGCTGGATCGCGGGATAGTGTTCAGTCACAACTTTGGCTACAGGTTAATTTTGACAACAGAATAATGATGTCTATTGCCTTGGTAACAGAGCATGGCTGTTCAACGAACCAGATCATGTAGAAAAAATTAATTGGTTTACCTTTTTGAATATACATAATTGATGCCCTAATTTTGAAGTTCATAACATTTGTTCTTTGCCTGTGACACATGATGAGAGGGCATGCTGGAGGTTTGTAGACTTAAACTACATCTTCGAAATGATCACTATTTACTGAAAAGACTAAAAGGAGATAAATTTGTGCAATGGAATAGGATCCTAAGTTGTAGGATGAAAAAATAGTTGGAGAATTTAAAGTTCGTGACTGGCCATATGTGGTAATCAATATTAAGCTTGATATGGGCATATGGCAACACTGCTTGCAATTACAGCGACATATATAATAGTTATTCTGAGTAAATATTGAATTTTAAGTCTTGGCATGTATTTCGGCTATCCATTTGTGCTTGTAACCAACATTTATGCTGTATATTTGGCAATTTTCTGATCGCCTTTCAAACTGTGAACCTGTGTTAGTAAATTAAGCACATGCCTCATAATTTCCACATTAAGATATCCCTTGGTTTTAACTAAATGTATTTATTCGTTATACATATTGGCATTGATTGAGGGCTTAATCTGCCGCTGACCATTTAGACTTTGGTAGGTACAAACTTTTCCCCATAAAGGTTGTATTCTTGTAGAGAAAGTGTTTATATCATTGTGGTACTCGTTAAAAGCATGGTTCTGTAGTATTTAATTATTAATCTCTAGCAAAGCCAATTTATTGTTTAGCTTGTTGGATTACTTAGTTTGTTACAGATAGTAGATGCAAACTTCGCCTCATTAAGGCTTGTGTGCTTTACCTGAATACTTCCCTGGAAATTGTGGCAATTGTTCCAAACATGTTTGTGGGGGTAGTACTAGTACTGAATTAGTAAGTCCTTTGCTAAATCATTTTGTCTTTTAGCATGTTGGGTTAAGAAGTTTAATGCTGAAAGAAGTCAGGTAACAAGGAGATATATACAGTTGGTTTTTTATTTTATACGGTGGTTTTTGATCATGAAGATATAGGACCTTTCATGAAGAGCTCTTTGGAATCTATGCAGAATAAGTTTTTGAGAATTTTGTTTGCTTGGTATCTGTTTTGTCCTTAGATGAATTGTTTTTAGTGCTTCCTGATTTGTGCTAGAAATTGTCTGCTTGGGTTTTTACCTTGGGCTGATATGGAGTTGTAAACTGTTTTACATGGATAGGTGGCACCTTCTTAACGTGTTGTCAATTGAGTGTTTGCAGTGTCATAATCGGCATGTAGAGCATTTTAAGTAATTGATGAGCATAGATGAATTGATCTGTTCCCCCTGGAGCGTAGGTTTCACTGTAGCATCTGTGCCTGATTGGCATCTTGACCTGAGTGTTTAGGAGTATAAGATTTTATCATTTTCTTCCTCAAGCTTCATTCTTCGTTGTAGTTGTTGTTTTTTTTTTTTTTTTTTCCCGTTTTCTCATGCCTGCCTCATTGTTTGTTTATGTCATATTGTTCCTGATTAGAATTAATTTTCATTAAGTTTCTTTCCAAGCATTTTCGCTGATCCCCTTTTCAGATAGAGAATTAATAGGTAACCAGTGTTTAAGGTTTGGACTACCCATTGCCTTATTTGAGACTTTCACCTGGGAAATAATACTTGCTTCTTTTATTTTGTGAATGGCCTCGGTGACTTGCAGTACTTCTTTTAACGTTTGTCTTAGTTTTCATTTTAAAGATTTATTGTTGCATGATTACTTTCTTTACACCTCTTATTTTAATTGCGGTTAACTTTTAGGATGAAAGAGAGCTTAAAAGACAAAGGCGTAAGCAGTCTAACAGGGAATCTGCTCGCAGGTCCAGGTTGCGCAAGCAGGTGATGGAGAGTAACCTGTAGCCTTTTCCTTCTGTGGTTGCTTGTTCATAATTGTCACATGTCTAATTCCTGTTTGAGCGTGCTGTTTTCAGGCCGAGTGTGATGAGCTAGCTCAGCGTGCTGATGTTTTGAAAGAAGAAAATGCTTCTCTCCGGTCAGAAGTAAGTCGTATCAGGAGTGAGTATGAGCAGCTACTCTCTGAGAATGCAGCTCTCAAGGTGATGTTAAAAAATCTTATATTGCTATGATTGGAAGTTCTTAAAAGGAAGGAATCAAAAAAGGCGTTGGAAGGGGAGTTACTCCCTCTTGTTTGATTGATTAAGAAAGGAGGGTGGGGAACTCAGAGAATCCCTTGTTTGGGAGTTAAAGTAGGGGGTATAATCACCAAGTACGTGGATCAACTGGCATAGGGTTATGCAGCTGTATTAAAAATTTGGTAGGAAGAGCTTTGATACCCTTGTGGTCTTGCCCGACTCGACCTAATTAGTCAATTAATCGATGAACTGCGGGAAAAATTTCCAAAATAAAATAGGAGGTACTAGAGAGCGGGTCTGGAGTTATAGTAATGTTGCATTTTTGTGATTGAATAGCCACGAGTTCAAATTCGAAAAATAGTCTTTTTACAAATATGTAAGGGTAAGGCTGCATATAAGGATTATCCTTACCCCTCCCTCGCTAGTCGGGATTTAATGGGGAGTAATTTTATTATATAATTTAAAATAAACACTTTCCCCTCATTATTTCCAAAATTGATAGGGAAGAACTCTTGGGGTTTGAGGGGGAATATTTCCTCCTCTCCACCCTCATAAGGGTTTGGGCAACTTTTCTCCTCCTCTCCTCCTTATCTCCCATTTAAACATATAATATATGCTTTTGATATTTGGTTATGATCTCGTTTTCAAATTGATAAGCAGTCTTGCCAGTTCTGTGTTCTGTTCGATACCTGCTTGCAAACATAGGTTACACATTTGAATGTTGATTCAGCAAACAAAGTAGATAAGCCTAGTAGCCTAGATGGACTAATATGACTGTTTTAACTCATCATTCTACAGTAGTCTTCTACAATTTCTTCTTAGTATCTGAAATGATTTTTGTGAAGCTGGCCATGCTGTCTGACTAATGTACAATATAATCTACAGGAGAGACTTGGGGAACTACCTGGGAACGATGATGTTAAGTCTGGCAGGAATGATCAGCATGTGGGTAATGACACTCAACAGAGTGATGAGACAGAGGCTGTGCAGGGTGCTCATTAGGATATAGTTACCAGTGCATGCCGCATTTCAGGAAGATATAACCTAACTTATTAGCAAGAGCCAATCTTGTTTTGGATAGCTTGTAGTTTAAATTGTATTAAAGCTGACCATTTATAGTCTTAAGATCTGTTAAATGTTACATGATCCCTCATTCCTAATTTGGCATTTTTTTTCCCATTCAAAAACAACCTGGATTGTATGTAGTGTGTGAATTATGTGTCATACCTTATCTGCAGCTTCAAAAGTTAGTGTTCGCATTAAGCAATATAGTTAATGAATTTGGGTGTTGTCCATTATATGATTTCCTGTGCAAATAATTCATCAGAAAAATAAAGGAAAGAAGAAATCTCTCTGAATTCTCTGCTTCATAAGAAGCCTCTTATCCTGGTGAAACCTAGTCTTGTTTTACATGGTTCTAATGCCATAATGCCTCATTTAAGTCATTTTGGTTGTGGTTTGCTGATCCTTGGTTCGTTTTCGTGAGTTTCAATTGAGTCATTAAATTGTTCTGTGGGATCAAACTGTAGTTTAGCCTTCCATCTGTTTTTTCATTTTTTTTTCTTTCATTTTTTTAATATCAATGAAAAAAAAAATCAGATTAGGGGAATGCACCTCCCTTGCAAGACCAATAAATCCCATTAACTTCAATTAGAATTTACGGTGAAATAACACTTCGCCTACCTAAAGAAAAAAATCCTACAATCGAACCAAAGCCTTAGTTTGAATATGCAGAAGGTTCCGTTAAATGTGTCAACCCTAATTGCTTTTTCTAATTCATTTCTTGAAGTTGGGATAAGGTGAATTATGGTTTATAGCATAAATTTTAAATAAAAAATAATTCGTTTATATTTTGAATTGGTAAAAAAGTTATTGTAATTATTATATTTGCATACAGTTTTTTTTTTTTTTTTTTAGAAAAAATATAGACAAGTTTATCTAATAGAGTGATTAGGAAGAATTCGGGATAAATATCAAATACATATATTAACGGAATAAAAAAAATCTAAAGATAAAATTCATAAAAAAATTATCTTAAAAAATTTATGTTTAAATTACTAATAATTTAAGAGTCCTATCATTTGGATTAAATTTTTTTATTAATTGACACATGTAAAATTTTCGGCTCGTGAAAATACGTAACACGTGATAATATTAAGAAGTGTCAAAAAAAGAAAGAAAAGAATCAATAAATGCGTCAAGAACACCAACATTATCGACGGGGGGAAAAATACTGAAGTTCATTAATTTTGGAAAGAAATTTGCTAGAAAACCATGATAGAGAAAAGACAATTTCTTGGTAACATACACCATATTAAGATAATACTTATTCAATTTTAACTATTGACAATATCCACCTATTATTTATTAATAACATTAACTATATTACTATCATGGAAATGGATCAACTCATAAGAGATTCTTTCAATTTAAGTTTTGAATTGAAGGTCCGTAAATGTAATTGTGTTAAAACTTGGTAACATTAACTATATTATCATCATGCATGTAAGTTGATTAACTGATAAGAGATTGTTTCAATTTAAGAAGAGTTTTATTGCCTATGTAATCTTACACCGCTTAAATCACATAAGACGAATGATTAATGAATTGATAGATAATAATAATAATAACAATAATAATGAACAGATATATAAAAGTTGCATGGCAACAATATGGTGTTATGAACAAGGTCTTAAAAAGGAATTTAACACAAACATGTAACTAACAAAGGTGAATACATGACGGGGAAAACGAGGGTTATGTTACATGAAATCATAAATTTTTTCTGTTAGACACGAAACAACCAATGGGCCCACATGTTTTTTTTTAAAAAAAAAATAAGAAAAAGTAAGCACAAAAATCAATGTATTAATTGGACAAATTTATGATTTTGCTAACCGTAGTTTATACATGATTATCTAAAAATAATAATTTTAAGAATTAATAATTAATAAATAAATATAATCCAATAAATTATAACGATTAAATTAACATAAATTAACGATTAAGATTTGACTTGTAAGAATTTTTAAACGGAAAAAATTATTAATATAACCTTCTCTAATTTTGATTGTAAGATTTGATTGGAAGTCCTATTTTTTTTTTAATGAAAGGAACCCGGAGTTCGGTGGTCGCTGTCCACTCAATATTTTCTCCAGAATATCCCTAATGCTATGAAATATTCGGGTGAGCAGTGCAAATAAACCCATTTATGAAGAACGACGCATTAATTCTGCAAATTCGGACACGCACCTCAGTTCTGCAATGCCCTTTGGTACGTCGTCGAGAGAATCGAGACAACAACAGAGTATAACAGACAGAAGATTCATACCATGGCAAGTTCATTAGCACCCAAATTGAAGCACATAAAAGATAAGGCAAAAAAAAACAATTGCTTGGCACAATGAAATGAAACGAACTTCTGAAGTGAGTAAAAATAGCCGTATCTAAGAAAGATTCCAAATACAAAGTTTATCATCACTCTAAAGCTTAAAAACAACTGAAGTACATGAGGCTGCTCTTTCCAGCAGTCATTCAAAAACAGCAGGAATAGCCAAATGAAGCATATAAAGTTGACTATATTGCCCATGTGACTTAGAAGTCTCTTCATCTTGTGTCTCCATAGGATGTGTTCCCTTTAAAAGAATTTGTTACAAGAGGCAGAAAACAAATAAAGAAAAATCATGATCCAATTAGATCAGGTGTTTCTGCCTCGATGGACAACAACGCAGTGTGTACTTTTCCTGTCCAACTGTCTAGTCGATCCCGTAAGGATTTGATCTGTTGAATACCCAGAACTCTTAGCTGCACCCAGGAAACATGCACTGTTCCCTCATCTTGATCAATTATACCCTCCATTAGATGAACCTGCAATAAATTTTTTCCATATATAAGCTTTTAAAATTAAATTTAAGTAGCTAAACCGCCATACAATTTTACAAACAAACAAAAAGAAATAATAATAATCTCCCAAATGCATAAATTCAATCAAAAAGATATCTCCAATTACTTTTCTCATAAAAACGGTGGACAACTAAAAATTCTTTGAAAAACAAGCATATACTGTAAGAAGAATGATGTTTGCTTATAAGTACTTATTTATAAACATTATCAGTAAAGGAGCATAATACTTTTTTCCAGACCAGCCAAGTGCTACTTGAATGTCGTGTGTTGCAACTAGAACTCAAAAACAGAATCAACTAATCTTTAAGTGAGGACGTGACATGTCAACAACTCAGAAGCTCAATAATTTTTAGAAGCGTCAGTTAGAATATAGTTTACACTTTACATCACATCCCCAAACATAATTGTTGTAATTTGGGAAATCCGTTCCACAAACAGTAACGCAAGAAACATAACAAGAAAGAATAAAGAAAACATAAAGAATCAGGACACCAGTATTTTACAGGTTCAGAAACTCAGGGTTAGTGAGTTTCCTACGTCCTGGGGCCTAAAGAGGGTTAAACGCCCTCTGATATCACACTTTATTTAGAGAGCAAGAATCACAGGTATAGAGTTATTACTTACAGATACAACGATAAAGAGAACTAATCAAATGAAGAAAAAACCATATACAGAGCAGAACAACAAGAGCAAACAAACTTGAACAGAAAAACATCAAGCTTAACAGATCGGTAACCAATTATCAAAACCCAAAGAAAAATGGAATAGACGTCACCAATCTTCACAAGACAGTAGAGGAATCGTAGTTCCTCTCACTGGATCTCCAAGCTGACAACCGTGAGCTTCACCGATCCTCCTTGTAGATTTGCCTCTCCACCGTTTGAGTATCAATCAGGATTGTGCACCGATCAAAAGAATCCCCTTGTTGAGCTGAACAAGGATCTCCAAAACAGCATGTAAAGATACTCACTCTACAAGCCAGATTTTTCCAAAACTCTCTCTCACAAACCCTAATCGAAGAACTTTCAAGAAGATACGAACAAGAGAGAGAGAAATGAATATCAGTGTATCAGTGTAAAAATGCCACACACGCATCAGCTAAGTTACCAAAGGGTTAATAAACCTTCACAATTGGTAAACGACACCGTATCCAATTAGTTGCTTAAAAGACCTCACAAAGGTAAGCGAAGCTGATGTGTCAAGTAAAGAGATAATAGGGCCAAACAAATAATAGTAGTCATCAGCCCATTAAGGATGAATGGAAGTAAAACACAAAAGGCCCAATGTTTTAGAGAAATACATACTACAAAACTCCACCTATTTTTCTAAATATATAACAGAACAAGTATAAAGATACCAGATTTGGTATAGGCATTTAACCCATAGGCCCATATGCAATGCATGATCATGGTGAATCAATTTTTAGCAAACCTAGAGCATCTCTAAATTTGCTAACAGGTACAGGTTTCGTAAAAATGTCAGCAGGGTTAATAATGCCAGAAATCTTTTCAGCAGATACTTGTTCACTAGCTATTATCTCCCTAATAAAATGAAGCCTAACATCTATATGTTTTGTTCTTTCATGAAATGCAGAATTTTTAGAAAGATGGATAGCACTTTGTGAGTCACAATTTACCTTTGGTGGGTTCTTACCTAAACCCAACTCACACACTATACCTTTTAACCATATGGCTTCCTTGACAGCTTCAGTCAATGCCACATATTCAGCTTCTGTTGTTGACAATGCAACTATGTGCTGGAGATTGCATTTCCAGCTCACCACATTACCTCCCACAGTAAACACAAAACCAGTTAGTGATCTACGTTTATCAAGATCAGCAGCATAATCAGAATCACAATATCCAACAATATTAAAATCATTGGAATCAAGTGCAGAAAAATTTAAACAGCAATTAATAGATCCATTTAAGTATCTAAGTAACCATTTAACTGCACTCCAGTGCTCTTTGCAAGGTTTACTCATAAACCTGCTTATTATGCTATATCTGGCCTTGTGTCAATCATAGCATACATTAAACAGCCAACAGCATTAGAATAGGGAACAGATGACATAAATTGTGACTCTTCAGGAGATAATTCTCCTGAAACAGCTTTCAGCCTAAAATGAGCACCTAATGGAGTGCTAACAGGCTTGGACTGATGCATCTCAAAGATTCTTAGAACCTTTTTAACATACTCAGACTGGGATAGAGATAGATGTCTATCTTCCCTTGTCCTTGTAATTTCCATGCCAAGAATCCTCTTGGCTGGTCCAAGAAATTTCATTTCAGATTCCCTTTTCAGCATATTCTTAACAGAATTTATTTCACTTAAATTTCTAGAAGCAATCAACATATCATCCACATATATCAATAGATA